AAATTCTACACCTCCACTTCTTTCTTCAACGGATATGCCACATCCGTTTAAGCTTTAGTTTTTTTTTAGTTTTTAGTTAAATAATTTAATGTATTACTAATAATATTAAATAAATAAAATGAATTAATTTACTATATTATTAATTATAATTACATTAAAAATATAATATTTACATAAACTAAAAATTAAAAAGAGAAAAAAAAAATAATGGGATTGTTGTGACCAACACCCCCCGCATTGGAGTAAATTAATTAAAAAATTTTATAATTGTATTAAATTAATAATAATTATTTAATTAAATAAAATTAATTAATTTATTACATAATTATATATAAATTAATTTTATTTAATAAAATAATAATTATTAATTTAATTTATGTATTATTATTTAATTAATTATTTAAATATTTTTTTATATAATTACTTAAATGGATATGACCACATTTATGGTTTTCTTTATTTTTTTAGTTTTTAGTTTATTATTTATTGTATTTTAAATTAATATATAAATATTATTTAATTTTTTTTAAATTTATTAGTAATTATATATAAATAATTTTATTTTATTTAATAAAATAAATATTACTAATTTAATTTATGTAATATTATTTAATTAATTATTTAAATATTTTTTATATAATTACTTAAACGGATGTGCCACATCTGTCAATGGATGTGGCCACATCCGTTAATATATATTTTTTAATTATTAATTTATTGTATTTTAAATTAAGATTATATTATTAAATTTTTTTAATTTTAAATTAATTTAAAAGTATTTATTTTTTTGTTTTTAATTAATATTTATGTAAAATAAAAAACTATCATTTAAATAAAATCGAAAATAAAAACAATAAAACTAAAATATATAAAAAAAGTTCAAATATATAAAAGGATGTCAATATCCGTTCACTGATGTCAACATCCGTTGAAGTGAAACAGATGTTAACATCCATTTTATAACAAGAGTAAATTGGGTTTGAGGTGGTGCAGGAGATTTAATTTATAAAAAATAGAGCACAAAACTAGAATGACAATCACATGCAGTAAAAATTTTCAAAAATCATAAATTAAAATCCAAATCTATATTGTTTTTAGATTTTCTAAATTTGGAAGTGGCTTTAATTTGAATTCTTTCTCCTCTTCTTCAATCACATATTGCATATTTTGTTGTTGTTTCAACTTTTATATCTCAATAGCTAGCCGTCCAATTTTGGTTTTAAAATCATGAACAATGGCTAATACATTTTGTTTAAATCGTGCAACCATGTGAGCCACAGCCATTTGTCTTATGATGTCTTCAATTAAGAGGTCTACATTGTCCTACACTTGTGACTGCAAATGTGACTCAAGAATAATATCATAATGCTTAAAAATTGTTCTAGTGGCTGAGATAATTATTCAAAATATGATTGTGACAGATGTTCAAAATATGGGTCATCAGAGTGGTTATAATAAGGCTCATAAAATTGTGGCAGTACTAGAAAAATTATGACTCACAAGATTGCTCAAAATATGGTTGGAAAAGATTGTTCATAATATTGAAATTGCATCTTCATTATGATCATAATCCATGTCAAAATTATGTTTATCAGCATGATGAAACTCAAATAACTTCCAAATCAAAATTGATTATTGAAAACGAAAGACATTATATACAAACAAAAGAAAGAAAATCAATCAATGGACTCAATGATGTATGTTCTCGACACAATTTTGATAAAATCCTTATAGTCACATCTAGTTTAATGAAAAATACGCCAATTTGATAAAATCCTTATAGTCACATTTAGTTTAATGAAAAAATAGTTTTATGCAAATGTAGTAAAGGGTTCAACCTAAATTTCAATTCATGAAACACATTTCAATTGAATTCATTGCAAACCAAGCTAAAATAAAAGATTACGAAGAAAATCAATACTCAATATATTTAGTCTAAAAGTAAAAATAAATGAAGAGTATCATCCAATCTACAGATTCTATTAATTGGAATCCCTATAGTTTTGGAGTTCTTCGAATAGTTCTATTCCTAGTTCTATACATCAGTGTGGTATCAGCTTGAACCTTCCAACTCGTACTCAAGCAGCCATGCATGAGCAAGAAGAACGTTTGGAGAATAGGATCACGTCGAAAACTTGAAGCACGCCTCATTGAAATTACATTCATCCATTCCCACAGGCTATTGAATTCTTCGATTGATTCATTGAAACATCGTAGACATTACAGAGAGGCAATCGTCCTGCGAGTTCCAATTATTCTTGTGGAACACGGTTGGCGCAAATTGATTTTCTGCGCTTTGGTGGTAATGCAATTCAACAATGGATATATCGATGTGAAACATATTTCACAATTGATGTCGCGCTTGAGGATGTGTGTGTAAAATTGGTTATCATTCACTTGAATGAGACACTACAATGGGAATTACCGCAATTTGTTGCCAAAATCTTCCAGGAGGTAACCTTCTACTCCGAATGAATTTAACAAAAAATTTAATAGATCGTTTTGGGGAAATATGTGATGATCCAATTTCAGAACTTATGCAATTACGGTATCAGGGTACAAGGTTTAAAATACCATGATCATTTCAATGCCTTACTGATAGAGGAAAACTGAGGCCCACTTGTTAAGCTGTTTTTTAGGAGGGTTAAAAAAGGACATTCAAATGATTGTTAGAATGCTTCAACCTTAGGAGCTAAACTATATGAATCAGCTTCTGCTTCAAAATCCCTACCAAACCTTTCCTACACTCCCAAAACTACAAACTCCTACAAAAGCCATTTTACCTACACCTAATCCTATACACAAACCTCCCGATTCCCATATTCAACTAAACACAAGAAGAGGATAGTAATTGAGGACACATGAATGATACGAAGGTGTAAACGGTGGATCAAATTGGGACACTCAAGAAAGAGGATAGTAATTCCTTGGATCCTCAAATATCCAGTCAATGCTTTAACGGGTATAACTAGCTATAAAACCACGATAGTGATGGGGTACTATAAGAACAAACCCTTGCATATACTCATTGATATCCATAATTTTCTAGATGAGGAGGTGGCTAAGAAATTGGGTTGTCCTATCACAAATATTTCCCACTTAAAAAAAAAAAAAAAAAAATTAAAACAAATGTGTGGAAGTAGAGGATTGGGTGGAGCTAGGGTAACCATACTTCAACTTTAAAAGTTCTCTTAGACGCTTCACAATACTGATTTTTCCTCGGATATGCTTCTTATACCCTCGGGATATTGTGATGTGGTGCTAGGTATTGAGTGGTTGGTGATAACTCCTACTTTAATAGACTAAATGCATCTCTGAGTAATTTCTTTCGTTCTAATCTTTATTTGAGCTTGGTTTTACAATTTCTGGAAAGTTAAGAATTTGAAATAAAAAGAATGTAAAAAGATTAATTTCTCTAATTAAAAATTACATTTTATCAGTTTTGACTTTTGCTTACTACTTTGTTTATAATTTTTTCTATAGATCTCCAAGAGTTGATTCTTTTTTAATTAGATTCTAGACTCATAGAGCTTCAGTACTAGAAAATAATTGTTTGAGTTCTAAGGAAGTTGTAGCTTTATTTTGAAAATGGAAAACAATATGCAAATGCAGGACATCGTAACTCACAGACATATGCTCACAGTTTGGCTAATAACATTTTACACAGGTGTCCAATTGATCTAGTTCCTTTTGTGTTGGATTCTAGACTTCAAGATCTTTAAGTTGAGTAAGTACTATACGTAATTTGTTGGAAGTCTGAGCGAAATGCAGATGATGTTGCAAGATGACGCATTTTACAAAGGCAGAGACAACATTGTCACGTTGGTCATTAGCCCCACACGGTTTCTAAGCTGTTTTCTCGAGTTCTTTTTATTTGCTAATTGGATTTCGGAGGATCTAGCCGTTTTAACAGGTCCAACAAAAAAAGTGCATAAGTTTTTCATGAAATTATTGTTGAATATCAGTTTGGCATCATAGACATATGTGAGATTTTCAGCCTCCCTAAGTTTCTTTTTTTGTGAATTCACTAAGTGTTGCTAAACATTCCAGAACTTACGTGACTCTATTTGACATTAATTGTTAGATGCAATCTTGAAATGATCTTGCCATCGTTATGTTAAAGCTATAGGCCAAATAAGTCCTACCTTGAACGGATTTTCTTTACAACCTAACTTTGAGCCTATTGACCTATTCTTTGATGATTTTATCTCCCATACAAGCCTCTTAACCAGAAAAACCTGTGGTCACCATGACCTTTGAGTTGTGAGGGCCTTTCAAAGTGTTTCGGAAAGCTTTTTGTGAAATTCAAAAAGCCTCGACGTGGAGGGATATATCTGAACCAGTAAAAGTAAAAAAAAAAAAAAAGCATTTGAGATACATGAATGATTTGATGGTAGTTTAAAGCTGGAAAAAAAAAAAAAAAACAACTTGAAAAGAAAGTGGTCTAAGCTGAAAGAGACTGTTAGAAAAGGAATTAGAAGGAAAATGTAAAGAAAAGAGAAAGTGTGGTATGAATTGGATAAAGGTGATTTTGTTGGTTGTGGGTGGGGTGGGGTGGTGGGGGAGGAGGGGGGGGGGGGGGGGGGGGGGGGGGGGGGGGGTGTGAGTGATGGGGGGTTGGGGGGATGGGGTGAGTGTTGTTGGGGGTGAAATGAGTTGGGGGTGGTGGTGTGTTGTGGTGTGATGAGTGTGGTGGGTGTGTTTGATGTTGGGTTGGAGTGTTGTGTTGTTGGTTTGATGTGTGTTGTGTGATTGTGATTGGATGATTTTTTTGTTGATGTGATTGTTTTGATGATGATTTTGATTTTTGTGTTGTATTTGTTTTTGTGATGTTTGATTGTTTTGTGGTTTTGTTGATTTTTGTGTTGATTTTGTTGTGTGTTGTTGATTGTTTTTTGTTTTGTTTTTTTTTTTTGATTGTTGTGAATTTTTGGTGATGATTTGATTTTTTGTGTTGTTGTGTTTTTGATTGATGATTGATTTGTTTTGTTTTTGTTGATTTGAGGGGATGGTGGGAGGGAGGGGGGGGGGGGGGATGTTTGTGGGGGGGGGTTGGTTTGGGAGGGGATGGGGGGATGTGGGAGTTGTGTGAATTTTTGGTGGATTTGATTTTTGTGATTGGGGGGGGATTTGGTGGGTTGGGTGTGATGATGTGTGGGTTGTGTGAGTGAGTGATTTGGTTTTGTGTGAGGGATGGTGAGGTTGTGATTTGATTTTTTTTTTGATGTGTTGGTTGTTGATTGTTGTTTTTTGTGTGTGATGTTTTGTTTGTGTGGTGGTGTGATGTGATTTTGTGATTTGAGTTTTTTTTTGTGGTGTTTTGATGTTGTGATTTGTTTGATGATGTTTGTTGGGATTTTTGATTTGTTGTGTTTTGATTGAGGAGAGGGGGGGGAGTGGATGGAGGGGGGGAGTGGGGGGGGAGGGAGGAGGGGGGAGGGGGCAGGGTGGGGGGGGGAGGGGGGGGTGGGGGGGGTGGGGGGGGGAAGGGGGGGGGGGGGGGGGAGGGGGGGGGGGGGGGGGGGGGGGTGGAGGGGGGGGGGGGGGGGAGGGGAAGTGGGGGGAGGGGGGGGAGTGGGGGGGGGGAGGGAGGAGGGGGGGGGGGGAGGGGGGGGGGGGGAGGGGGAGGGGGGGGGGGGGGGGGGGGGGGGGTGGGGGGGGGGGGGGGAGGGGGGGGTGGGGAGGGGGAGGGGGGGGGGGGGGGGGGGGGGAGGGGGCGGGGGAGGGAGGGGGGGGGGGGGGAGGGGGATGGAGTGGTGGGTGGTGGGGGGGGGAGGGGGGGGGGGGTGGTGGGGGGGTGATGGGGGGGGGGGGGGGGGGGGAGGTTTGGGGGGGGTGATGTTTGGGGGGGATGGAGTGTTTGGGGGTGGGGATTGGGGGTGTGTGGATGGGGAAAGGTGTGGGGGGTGTGTGTGTGGTTGATGTTGATTGATTGTATTGAGGTGATTGGAGTGGTGGTGTTTGTTTGGATGAGTTTGTTTTGTTTTGTTTTCTTCCTCCTTCGGCTCTAGTTTGTTTTTTCTTGGGGGTTGAGGTATTGCCTGAGAGGTGGGGGGGGGTGATGAGGGGGGGGAGGGGAGGGGGGGAGGTGGGGGAGGGGGGGTGGGGGGGGATGGGGGGTGGGGGGGAGGGGGGGGGGGGGGGGGGGTGGGGGGGGGAGAGGGGGGAGGGGGGGGGGAGGGGGGAGGGGGGGGGGGAACGGGGGGGGGGGGGGAGGGGGGGTTGGGGGGAGAGGAGGGGGGGGGGGGGGATGGGGGGGGCGAGGAGGGGGAGGGGGGAGTGGGGGAGGGGGGGGGGGGGGGGGGGGGGGGGTAGGAGGAGGGGGGGGGGAGGGGGGGGGGAGGAGGGGGGGGGGAGGAGGGGGGGGGGGGGGGGGGGGGGGGACGGGGGGGAGGGGGGGGGGGGGGGGAGAGGAGATGGGAGAGTGATGTGGGGTAGGGGAGGAGTGTGGATGGGGGGGGGGGGGATGGGTGGGGGGGAGGGGGGGGGGGGGGGGGTGGGGGTGGGGGGGGAGGGGAGGAGGGGGGATGGAAGGGGGGGGGGGGGGGGGAGGGGGAGGGGAGGGGGGGGAGGGGGGGGGGGGGGGGGGGGGGAGGGGGAGGGGGGGGGGGGGAAGGGGGGGGGGGGGTGGGGGAGGAGTGGGGTGATGGGGGGGAGGGGGGGGGGAGGGGGGGAGGGGGGGGGGTGGGCTGGGGGTGGGGGGAGTGGGTGGGGGATGGTGTGAGGGGGGGGGGTGGGGGGGGTGGGGGGGGGTTGATGGGGTTACTCCTGTTGATGAGGAGGAGGGATGGGGGGTGGGGGGGGGGTGGAGGATTGGTTTGAGGGTGGTGTGTTGGGGAGGGTTTTTGGGGTGTGAGGAGCGGGTGTTTTGAGTGGGGAGAGGGTGTAGTGGGTATCGGTGAGGGTGGTTTGTTGTTTTTGGATGTGATTGGTTTTGGTTTTTGGCATGATGATTGATTGTTGATTTTTTTTGTTGTGTTTGTTGTATTGTGTTGGTTGTGTTGTGGGTTGTTTGATGTTTTTGGTGGTGTGGGGGATATATTCTGAACCAGTAAAAGCATTTGAGATACATTGAATGAATTTGGATTGTAGTTTAAAGCTGGAAAAAAAACTTGAAAAGAAAGTGGTCTAAGCTGAAAAGAGAATGTTAGAAAAGGAATTAGAAGGAAAATGTAAACGAAAAGAGAAAGTGATGGTATGAATTGGATAAAGGTGAAACATGGATCCTACACTAATTGTTCAATATTTTCTCCATTGTTTCCTCACTTTTCTTTGGTTTTTAGCTCTGAACCTTTCTCTTTATCCTACCTTCACCTTCATCACATTACTAGCCATGATTAAGTCATTTTGATCTTGAGTTGTATTTTTGACAAAGTAGAGGCTCTTCAAGCTTATGGTAGTGCTAATTTTCATGAAGTCTTAGTGTAAAATTAAACATGAAATACATGAAAATCTGATTTGAATGATTTTTGCTGCACTTGAGTTGTTTGAATTGCTTTTGACTAGTTCAGAGTTTTGAAACTTTGATTAGTGATTCTCTCTTGCTCTAAGTTTTTGCAGCTATGCAGTGATAGGGTATCTTGTGTAGTTTTGTGAAAAGCTTTTGAAAAAAAAACCCTGTTTTTGTTTGCCTTCTTTTAGTCTCTACTTAGTTTTCTTTTATTTTACCCAGAGTGCAGAAGTTGTGGAATGTCATAACTCTTCATTTGTCTCCCTACTTTTATAGACTAAATGCTCTCTTAAGTATTTCTTTTGTTCTTAATCTTTTATTTTAGCTTGCATTTGCAATTTCCGGAAAATTAAGAATTTGAAATTAAAAGAAGGTAAAAAGTTTAATTTCGCTACTTAAAAACTGCATTCTCTCAGTTCTGACCTTTACTTATAACTTTTTTTACATATTACCAGTTGAGTTGATTCCTTTTGTATTAGATTCTGGACTCACAAATCTTAAATTAGAGTACTATAAAATAATTTTTAGAGTTCTGAGGAAGTTGCGGCTTTATTTTGAAAATGCAAGACAATATGCAGAAACGATAAGAGGCTTTAAAGTTAGTCAAATTTCACATGAAGAGGGCCCAAGAACGAGTGAAGAAATTGGCAGATAAAAACTGAAGTGATAGATATGAGGTTGGTGCTCTTGTGTATGTCAAGCTCCAACCCTACAAACAGATTTCAGTAGCATTTCGGGCTAATGCCAAGTTAGCACCTAACTACTTTGGGCTGTTTCTTATCACCGATACGATTGGAGCGGTAGCTTAGAAGCTACAACTTCCACAGGTGTCTAAAATTCATGATGTCTTTCATGTATCACAACTTAAAAGGCATATTGGTGAGGCCACGGTAGCAAGTTTTCTTCCAACCGATTCGAATAGTAAGTTAGATGATCCATGTATACTCTCTTAATAATAAGCCTTTCATGGAAAACTCTGCTCTGATCTTTAGATACTGCAGATTATATTTAAGAAAACGTCATACACAGAAGGGTTTCAAGCTGGAACCCAGATACTTGTGAAGATCACAACATCAACACTACAGGTTCAATATTTCATTTTATGATTCTACCATATATACTGATTGAACATTCATTCAAGAAAATGTATGGCACTGAAGAGATATTTGTTAAACTTGTTTGGTAAAATATCTTTTCTCAGTTGCCTGTGAAACATATGTTCAAAATTATCTTATAATTATCTCACACATATAGTGGAAGAAGATGTTTTTCATTTTCTTGATTCGATGCTGATAGTCATAATATATCATGTTAAGCTGATCAGACAATCAATCACATCTAAATTTAGGTGAAATTACAAGCTAATTTTTCCGACAGCAGATATATATTATTCAAAGCAATACATTTCCAAATAAGGCACAGACATGCAAGCTACACACAATCAGAAGTTATTTTACTGTCATAAATCATTAGCAGTATGAGAAGCACCATCTTCTTGAGAATCACCAAGCTCATCACATGCACTATCATAATCAGCTTCATCTGAGTTACCACTTGCACTGTTCTCTACACCAGCTGTAGGGTAGAGAGAAGATTCTACGAGGTACTCCGGGCGCAGAGGAGAACGAAAGTATGGTGATGGTGTTGAAGACAATGATGTTGATAGAAATTCAACATGCGAGTTCAAATTATTATTATTATTCAATTGAAGCCTGCAAACTGGACATGTTTTGCTGCTGTTAAGCCAACGAAGAATGCATTCGGAACAATAGGTGTGGGTGCAGGGTAACCGGTATGCTTGATCACACACTTTAAACTCATCCATGCAAATGGGACAGAGAAAGAGTTTATCTGTCTCTGATACTCTTACCCTGCTAAGGCCATTCATGGCAATCGTTGAGCATCCACTATTATCACCTTCAAAAACATGACTTATATTGGGAGATTGAAGCCTATCCTGCAGTACTTCTTCGTTAAGAATAGCCCAAACCCCACTGAGATCAAGCTGATGCTGTTGCAGCAACAGTGGCCGTGCAAAATCTGGTGGTGGCGGTGGTGGTAGAAAGCGCCAATCCATTTGAGGTTCAGGATTTGGTGTGTGGGTGGTGGTGATGGCGGCAGCGGCAGCGGCGGAGAAAGTTCTTGCCATGTCCTACTAGTTGTAATTGTAGTACTTGGTGTAATGATTACAGATTCTACGTCGGAGTCATCTGAACTATCTGAACTAGTGGGAACAAAGCATAGCTGATGATACCACCTTGTGGTTTGCCTTTGGCCACGGTTCAGTGGCATGGTTTTGCAAGGGCTGTGTTCAACTGTATAATATACTATATTGAAAGTCTTTAGCCATTTACCATATGCAATGTTTGTTTTCGGAGGAAGCTTCAACTTCTGATCATCTCAAATTTTATCTTCCCTTTGCTCCTTGGTCACTAAGCAATCATCTTTTTAGTTAAGTCTGCAAGTGGGTGCTGTCACATGCACACATCACAAAGCACAAACAAAAGGTACTGGAGCCAAATGAAACAACTGACTTTAAGCACTTGGAAAAGTGAAAGATGAGATTGTGCAAATATTATATTTGTGATCCTTGAATTACCCATCTTCTTTCCTTGTTTAAGAAGCTATTTTGAACGATTGGACTTGGTTAAGATCTGATTTTGTTGCTATTTATTTTCTGGGGCTAAATTTTGTGCACAATGTAAGAGTGACAAAGTATATATCCCTATAGGTGGGTCATGTGGTACATTTCCTTTCATCATTGTTTAAAATAAATGAAGTGCAGTGCAACTTTTCTTTTTGACAAACTTTATTTCTATCCTTGTCATCAAGTCATTTAATCAAATACTTATATATGAATATTTTCTTAAAGGTCTATAATTAATACATATTTAATGAAAGTTATATTTTACTCTAAGGACTTTGTGTTACATTTAGATTTAACTAGAATGCAATTATGAAACGAAAGAGTTTTATTTTATCATTACCAAGGTTTAATGGTGGAAATCTTGTTAAGAAGCGAAGCGAATTAACTCTTAAAAAGATAATTTTCCACGGTAACTAATAATTATATTTTACTCTTGGAATATATAGTTAAAATTAGTGCGTCAATTAGTTTCTATCCGACTAACAAAGTCATGTATGCATGAATATTTAAAATATTTGAAAGTCTCATGTTAATTAGTGTAACATCATTTTTGAGATCACGTGTAA